TTTAAAGGTTATGTAGAACACTTATATTTCACTTCCACTGTTATGTATGAAAAAAGTAAACATATTTCTGTGCTTTCAGTATCATTACAAATTTGTGGTAGCTAAATTGAGTCAGCACATTGAAATGATGGCAGATGTGTTGATCCGTTACCTAAAAAATGTTGCCGCAGGACTTCATTCCAGGGTTTAAATGTTATGTTGGAGAGGATAAATGATATTGCTTAATACTGTTCTGGAACATTACTGTATGGATGTCTCCTTGAATTAGGGTGGGAAAAATGCCTTGCTTATGCTTGTAAAACACATCACTGTATGTTGAAATGAATACAGTATCTACAGAGGAACCACCACCTCAAAGCAGAGTGGTTTGGAGGGAAAATAAATAGAGATTCTGACATATAAGGACTTTAATATACAGAGTGTTTCATGACTTTAGGGCAAAACTGCAGGAGGTGATTTCCTAGGTCTTTGTCATCAAAAAAGTTCATTTAAACATGTGTCTGATTTTTGACGGTTATGGAGTTATGACTGTTTAAAACTCAGAATAGAAGGTAACAATTACTGACAATAAACGGAACAAAATAATAAACCAGCATAATACATGATACATTTAAAGTATGACTGTAAAGTTAACTTCGTGAAATTACCTTTAGTTTGAATTGATTGCTGCTTAAAGCTGATTTTCAAAAATGCCACCGCCGGCCACAACACAGGCTGCCGCTTGGTTGTGAACCGCATGGGTAGCACATAGCAGCTTTAGCTGGCTGTTTCTTATGTGGTCAGCGGCGTCCAGAATACAACCGAGCAAAGCATCTTGTGTTTCATCCATCCCCACACACAGTAATCTAGTGGGCTTAAGTTTGGAGACCTGGCTGGCAATTCTTCACATACTTGTACGTGGACTGCGGTGTACCATACGAACAATGCCTTCTTCATTGACGCCTTCATTAACACCACTCTTGGCTGCAATACGAATGCCAGGAAGTCTACCGGTATCTTGCAATGCCTGGTAAACTCCAGTAAACACTCTCCGGTTCAGTATTCTATGATTTGGAAACTGTTGCTGATATTCAGCTGCGGCAAGAACTGAGTTACCGTCACAAAACCTGTACATATAAATCATATCTGCATACTCCTCAAATGAAAATGTAAATGGCATTGTGAACGTAACAGACGCACTGAGATGAGAACTGTTCTGAACACCAGTAGCCACCACACTACCCGTGGCCAGACATACCAACCCACCACGCCTTAGGTACCTCTCACGTGTCAAGATAACGAGAATGCTCTGTCTGTAGCTGGCTAAAAATAGCAACCGGCCTGATGATAGACGCGGTTCACACGAGGGCGTGTACGGGAATGAAAAAACAGTCATAACTCCGTAACCGTCCAAAATCGGACACATGTTTATATGAACTTTTTTGATCACAAAGACCTAGGAAATCACCTCCTGCAGTTATGTCCTAAAGTCATGAAACACTCTGTATATTGCAGGGACTGAACTATTTAAGTACTATTTTCCTGACTGTAACATCATGTAGACTGGTGGAAGTTTACATATGTTTTGGAGGATTGTATTGTTTCCATCTTCTGAGTCAAAGAGTGAACTAAGCAAGGCACTAGCACCAAGCAGCCAGGAAGCTGAGTCACTAGCTGCCTCCTCCTTGCATGCTTCTTGTTTCATTTCGTTTACTCTTCGATGCTGAAGATGAAGGCAGCTGTGTTCCTTGAAACATTAGTGAACTTCAGCCAGGCTACAAGGCCTTACATCACAAGAAAAGTGTTAACGGGTACATTACAAATGTTCATTGCCATTACAGAAGGTGCTCAGGAGCTGAATTCAAAAGGATGCCTGTCTGTCTGTCTGTCTGTCTTCTTACAGGGTTGTAACATTTAAATTGTGTAAGTGTACCAGCTTGTCAGTGGAAGCAGACTTACTAGCAGTAAAATCAACATTGGAAAGGAACACTGGGAATTTTATGTTCTGGAACAGTAACGGCATTTTATAGGTTGTATTTAAGTAAGATTTGACAGTAAGAGTTCCCATAAAATCGTTTTGCACTATAATTAATGGAATGTCTAATGCAAGCAGTTTTTATAGATGTAACATTTGTTGTTACTTGTTGCAGTGATATGTCTAGGGTGAGTCGGAATGTCCCAGGAGATTCAGAAGCAGATAATTATAAATATGAAACACCAAACAATACAATCATGATTAGAGGCTTGGCACAGCACATTACAGAAAATGATGTGAGTGTCTGCATTCACTATATGCAAGAATAAAGTTGATTACATTTGCCCTTTTAGAGAAAATAGTGTAATAAAAGTTCTGATTGTAGACTATGCCTAGTATCATTTCTAGATCGCAAGTATTTCATCTATAATGCAACAAAGTCAATCTATTATAAATGACACTAAACTATATTTAATATGCTAAAAGTGTTTGTTAAATATTTTAAATGTCATTAAATATATACATGCATTCCTTATTTCTACATGTTTCGGCCACATATGGACCATCATCAGGAGACCACTGCACAGTACTCTTGTGTCGTCTGTGCCCTCAGGAACATTGTTGTACAGAAGTGTACAGTGCAGTGGCCTCCCCAATATTAAGTGTTGTCTGATGATGGCCCATGTGTGGCCAAAACATATAGCAACAAGGAGTGAATGTATATAATTAATGACATTTACAAAATTAAAGAAACACTTTTAGTGTATTAAATATATTGTCAAGTGTTGGCTAAGTAACGCAACAAATAACTTCATGTCGGTCTTGGATCTAACGAATTTATTGCACACTTTTATCCACACTTACATAATTCACAATTTCTGTGTCCCAATTACTTCTTCTAAAGTCACTTCCAGACTTCCACTGTCTTTGGCACCTGCTATATTTCAATTGAGCTGCCTGGTGCATTGAACCCCCTTACTTGGGCCTCTTGCAGACCACACAGAAAACAGCCTATATTGTTGGACATGTTTACTGACTGATTGCTTAGCAATGGTCACTGCATGGACTCCACTGTTGCGTGACATCACAGCCTAGCAGGGTGGGGTGTTTACCGAGCGTTGCATAGTGATGGGATGAGTGGGGATATGTGATGTCACTAGCAGAGACGCAGAGTTCACTTAATCCCTCGTTCCTGTAGTTCTATCCAAGTGTTCACAGAGTTGTTGCCTAGCAACGCGCTAATACAATCTGCAACTGTGCTGTTGTGTGCATGCCCTGAGGCCTCTGTGGCTCAACAGTTCCTGCATAGAGCCAATATGCCACAATATTGTAGAGTCTTTTATAAAAGGATTACTTTATTCCATTATAGACGGGATATTTACAATCTAAAAATGATACCACAATGTAACAGGATGCTGAAATACAATATTACGAGTAGTCAAACTGTGCTAGTAGTTATATATGGGTAATGTATTTCATATTCATTGTATTTTATGTTGTGACTACAATGCCTCCAAAATGCAATAAACTCTTAATTATCTGGTATCCAGGCATGTGGATTCTCATGCAACAGGTAAATATTTCAGAGAAAAATTACCATTTTATAAAGGTACAACCTTACTGCCACCTTTGAGCCAATTGTCTAGATAATGTGGGACCCTCAACGTCTCACAACCCTATGGGCCTTCACGGCCTGTTACAGGGATAGCTTTACTTTTTACTTTACATCAAGAACTAAGTTGCACTCTGGATATATTGGCTTGCCAGGTGGTAATTCTCCCAGCCACCTCCAGCACTTGTGTCTGTTGTGGTCCAGTCTTGTAAATTATGGATGTACACACATTGATAAAATTGGTTAGATTGTATCACTGCTAATAGGATTGAATTTACTTGAAAGATGTATTACAATAAGTGGCTGTTTAAATTTTATTAAATTCTACTGCAAGTTTCTCTTTCTTTGTGCATTGCATTTGATGATTTTTTTGTGTTTTTCATCATCACTAATGGAATAATGCTGTCTGAACAAAAGTACAGTGGTGGTGGTGATGATGATGATGATGATGGTGGTGTTGTAGATAACATGATGATACTACTACTGCAGATAAATGCGTATTTTCACTTTCTTTTCATAGATTCGACAAGATATCTTGAATTGTGGACTGATGCCAAAAGACATCCGACTTATAAGGAAGAAAGATACAGGTAAATGAGTTGTTAGAAAATACAGAATTAATGTTGATTGTCTGATAGTACTTGCTCACTGGCTGATTATATGCAGATACCACATAGCTTGTAGAGGAAGTGAGTAAGGTCCCAGCTAACATTGTCATATAGCTTTAACATGTGATATGCAGAACCGTATGGACAGGGGTGGCCTTGGTCATACAGGAATTTGAAATTTGTTTTGTCTTACAGTTCCAGGTTTCTGAGAGCTTCTTTGGACTTAACACAGAGAATTATTTGCTTTGGTGATTATCATAATTTTGTATTATTATAACTTTTGAGGTTTTCATGATAGTGGTTAAGATTGTGGTCTTGGTTGTGGCACCATAGAGTCCTGTGGGAAAGTGCATGCTGCCTCCATTTTCATCCCTGAAGGTGGAGGCAACATATGCGTCTGAAACGTTTGTGTCCACTGATAAAGACTACATGGTGTCACAACTCAGGCAGTGTTAATATTATTGTACTGTCTTAAAACTTTTTATTCATTAAGGTCTCCATTAATGGCGTAAATGACAGCAAAGTTCCAAGTATTTCTATTTATCCAGTGATAATGGATAGTAGAATGGGTTAAAATTGTGTTTCTAGCATCGATAACTTACATAAAATGCTTTCTTTTGTTCAGTAGCATATTAAATATTATCTGATATCCTTCACATTTTTATCTTTTTTTTATGCTAGGGTAAGAAGTACTGGGGTGATAATGAACTGGTGGTAACAGAACGTTTTTTGTTTATATAGAATATTTTTAGAATATGTTAATTTAAACACTTGGAAATATTCAGACAAATTTGGTCTGTGTACCTGACCTGTACTTGCAGTCATTACCTCAAGATGTTGGAACTATAGGAGATCCCCTGATTCCAAGTAGGTGCAGTTCTGTGTAGTGTATCACACAGTATTTTGGCAGTTTGAAAGTAGTGACTATATATATATAAACACACACACACTCAGCCTCTGACAGAAATGAGTATCAGGAATCTTCTTCCTGGGGGTGAAAGGTGGCCAGCACATAAGGCTGACAACGTCACAGCCATCTGTGAGCCAACTCTCCAGAAAATATGGGAGCCTTGATGTCACACAACCCTATGGGCCTCCACAGCCTGTTACAGGGATAGCTCATTAATTCCCTCTCTGTTGTTAGTTTGCAATCAAAAGATTTCATTAGAAATCCAAATGTTGAAGAGCTCCTCTCTCACTTCTGTTGAGTTGTCACATGTAGTACGTATATTATCTTATTTATTTGGAATATTGCTGTCTGTCGTAAGATATTTTTTCTTAAATTCAAGAGATGATATTGTAAGCATATTTCACAGTTGTCATTGTAGAATTGTAATGACAATGTATGGTTGATTTTTTGTTATGATGCTTCTCCAGTGTGTGCACTTTTTCAGATTTTTTGGAACACACATTTCTAATGGGCGTTCATATCTAACAGTGTGACATACCATTTCCAGGATCAAGTTATGAAGAGTAATTGTAATTTTGGAACATGCATAACCTGCCGTTTTGGGTTTAGGCACAACCAAAGAGGGGAACTTTGAAAATACTTTATCTAGCCCCACACCATGGGCAGAGAGCTTCATAGCATAATAGAGAATACTTACTTTCTGCCTCTGAGATGGCTTCAGAAGATGAAGTTGCACTGCAGTGTGGTAGCCCTTCCCATCAGCATTTAGTGATGTCTACAATGGAATAGATCCTGCCTACATTTGCCCAAAGCTACTTTATAGAAATAAATACTAAAAATTATTTGTTTGCTGCCATTTTGTGATTATTTTGGGGGAACTGTGTGAAGTGTTTAAAAAAATAGAAGAATATGAAAAATTAAGCACTTACAAAGTTATGTTTGATTTCTATATAATAGAAGTGGTCGTGAATTAATGAGATGGAGTGCATGCATTGGGGATGGTGTGTTACAGTACTGCTTGAGGGTGGTAGGATAGTATGTGTGTGTACATATATGTGAGTGTGCAATAAACATTGTCAGCAAACAGAATTGCTTAATCTGTCTATAGTTTCTAGGTATTCTCCATGACCAGAATCTCTGGAAACTTCACTTGAGTTGGCTCTGTGTTAAATGTGAATGGTCACTAAATGTTTTAGAAGTTTGATCTATCATGTCATCAGGTGGGGACCATGTGTTAATGCTCCTACTTTACTGTCCCCTTGTCCAGTCTAGGACTGGCAGCTTTATCTCTGGCTCCATAGTGAAGTCCAGGCTGTAATAGGTTCTGTCCACAACAGTGGGATTATTAAATAGTGTTGGTTAGTGATATTGTGGACCCATATTCAGGACATTCTTGGATGGAATCTTGGTTGGGACACCAGCTTTCCTGGCTGAGGTACTTAATTATTTCTTTAGTCCTTACAAAAGCATGATTAGGGTAGGACCCACTTCCTTCATTTCAAATCCTTTCCAGTTCATCTTTTGTCCTATCATTTGATGCTATAAATAGTGGTAAAGAAGTAGTGAAACTGAAATAAAATAAACATGACAGTGCATAGAACAACATATTTGATACACATTTCCCTTAAAATAGTTCCCAAGGGATCTATCACACTTATTACAGTATTTATAAAAACTCTGGAAATGCTTTGAAGACTTGGCTATTATGTTGGTGTTTAGTTCTGCTGCCACCCATTATATCAAATTTGTGACCTTTCAGTTTCAATTTTGGAAACAAAGAAAGTGCTGCAGTCAGGATGGGAGAATAAGGATGGTGATTGAACATTGCGGTCCCCTTTTTTGATCAGAAACATCCTTACATTGATAACTGTGTAGGCAGGTGCTGCGCTGCATAATTAATTTGCATTATTGATCTTTGCTTCAATAGTTACGCATGGATGGCATGTGGAACACAGAAATATGAATGTTGAATGCACAGAACACTTTCAGTTCCTTTACTGTGATGGTTTCCACTGTGCAAATGCAGACTGCATTTAAAAAGGACCCCCATTCTCCTTTTTTATCTGCTATGCTGCGTACAAGTTGGTTCCATCATGCATAATTTTGAAGTTTTCATCATCAAAAAAGGTTCTGAAAATTTGAATTGGTTAGCTGCCCTTCATAATAGAAAACAAATTTCATTTGTCCCTGGCAAGGCAGAAAATCCATGTCTCTATATTCTTTCAGTGACTTCATTCCATCCTAATTCAGAATCAGAGCATAATTGTTTAGGTTTTGCTCTCAGTGCTCCATTATGGCCCCTGCTTGTTTCCAGTTGAGGAGATATTTCCCCTTCATACCACTAATGTTGCTACTGCTAAAAGAAAAATATTCTGAGAAATCCTCGCTGTCAGAAGTTTCAGTATGACCTTCTGAATCGGATCATTTATAGTTTATAATGTTGCCCACCTGAACTTGTACTATGCTGTTTACTATTCATCTTGCTTGTTTTGCACTATGAAGGACACTGAATCATATGGGCTCATCTTGGGTCCCTGAACTTATAGGCCTTTCCATCTTGTAACATTTAAACAGACCAGTCTCTGTATCTTGACCTTGGCCGCAGTGTCGAGGCAGTGAAAACGGTTTCTTTTTTATGAAAGAAATCCAAACATGATGAAGATAGTTCAGTGTTCCCTTCAAGATGAGATGATAATGCCAGCTGGCACACATTGAAACTAGAGACTAGGAGCTATTACCTAGTGAAAAGTTTATGTTGATGTTGCAGATACTTTTTTTCACAATGAATGTTCAAATACCAGGTTAGTAGCAGAATTGTTGCCTGTGCCTTGGCAAGGTGATTTAAGTTGTAGTAGTACTGTTGCCAGAATGTGGTAACTGACACTGTTTTGTTCTTCTGAGTGTTTATATATAGTATTTAGTCACTTTTCAAGTTATTGTTTATGATTTATTTTTTTAATTTTACCCACCGTTAATCAAACCCTGTACAGTCTGACATGTAAATGTTATTCATTATACTGGTTAAAGTAGTGGACATTTTAACTTGACTTTATTCCAACACATGTAGCTACAGATGCTGTGAAGTTTTTTAAACCCACTCACTCACTCACTCAGAATCCAAAGAAATAATTGATTGGCTGTTGTAAGTGGAGTTTATTTATTGTTGAGTCGTTTAGCTTTTATTGACTGCAGAATTTATGAAGTGAGAAATTATATGATTATTCAGTGAAGTCATCTTGGGTGATCAGCCTTGTTGGTAAGGAAATGGTGTCCTACATTTGAGACACTCTGTCTCTCCATCATCAGAGTGCTGTGTCTCCATACTATATTCGTACAAACGCTGTCCTCTTAGCCAGCCTCTACTACATGGGGATTCGTGAGTAGAGTCGGTGATGTCCTCTCCCATTACAAACTGCACGAGGAACAGTTAGTTGGTCATCAGAATTCTTTTTGCTAGCCATTTGCCCTTCCTTGCAATATTTTTCAAGTTCTTTCTACTTTTTTATTATGTTTACGGCTGGTTACCATGAACAGCTTAGAGAGAATCCCGTATTTCAGTTGAAGTTATTAGGATGGAGCTGGATCCCAGTAGTGTACATAGCCTGTCATTCTTGCCATTATCGTTGTGTCCTTGAAGTTCATTTGATGCTATGCTTCATTGGCACCATCTTATCTGGGTGCTGTAGTTGTACTGGGTGTGCCAGAAATACCTGATGGTTCATGAAATCAAATAACTTTTCATTAAAAGTAAGAAAGTAAAGGTATCACTGTTACAGGCCATGGATGCCCATAGGGTTGTGAGAGGTTGAGGCTCCCACATTTTCTAGAGAGTTGGCTTACAGAAGGCGGTGAGGTTGTCAGTCTTACGTGCTGGCCACCCTTTACCCCGGGAATATTCCTAGTACTCATTTCTGTTACGAGGCTGAGTCAACCCCAGGGCCATAGTGCAACTTGAAGGATTAGGTAATTTGAAAAAATCCACCTCATCGGGATTCAAACCCGCGACCTTCCGGCTTGTACGCTACCACGTGCCCTTAATAACTTTTCAGAGGAAAGTCAAAAAAAATATCAC